AGATGCTTGATAGGATTGCAGTCTTTTTGAACTTGTAGAGACTTAGTTTGTGTCCTACCATGTGGTCTATCTTTGAGAATGTCCCATGTGCACTTGAAAAGAACGTGAATTCTGTAGTTTTGGGGTATAATTCTCTATAGATATCTACTAAATCCATTTGGTCTAGTGCTTCATTTAGAGTCTCTGTTTCCTTGCTAATTTTTTTGTCTAGAGGGTCTATCCAGTGGTGTCAGTGGGGTATTAAAGTCCCCTGCTATGACTATATTGCTGTCAACTTCTCTTTTGAAGTCCTCCAGAAGATTTTTAATATATTCTCGTTCTCCTATACTGGGTGCATATATGTTTATCAAGGTTATATCCTCCTGTTGGATAGATCCTTTCAGTATTATGTAGTGGCCTTCTTTGTCTCTAATTATGGCCTTCATTTTGAAATCTATATTATCATATATGAGTATTGCTATCCCAGCTTTTTATTCCTTTCCGTTTGCTCGTAAGATTTTTTTCCATCCCTTCACTTTCAACCCATGTGAGTTTTTTGTTGTGAGGTGCGTCCCTTGTAAACAACATATATGTGAGTCATGCTTTCTGATCCATCAGCTACTATGTGTCTTTTTATCGGAGCATTCAGTCCATTTACATTTAAGGTGATTATTGATATGTACTCATTTATTGCCATTTTTGTTTAGTTTGGTTCCATTTTTCTTCCTATTTCTTCTACGAATCACTGCAGTCCTTTTAACATTTCTTGCAGTATTGGTTTGTTGCTAATATATTCCCTTAGCCTTTTTTTTTTTTTTTTTGGTCTGGAAAGCTATTTACTTCACCTTCTATTTTGAATGAAGGCCTTGCTGGATAGAGTAGTCTTGGATTCAGATCCTTGTTTTTCATGACTTTGATCACTTCATGCCATTCCCTTCTGGCCTGTAGTGTTTCTTGTGAGAAGTCAGCTGAGAGCCTTATGGGGATTCCTTCGTAGGCAACCTGTTATCTCTTACTGCTTTTAGGATTCTCTCTTTGTCTTTAATTTGTGGCATTTTAATTACTATGTGTCTTGGTGTGGGCCTGTTTGGGTTCTTCTTCCTTGGGGCTCTCTGTGCTTCTTTAACTTGATTGCCTTCTTCCTTCACCAAATTAGGTAAGTTTTCTGTCACTATTTCTTCGAATATATCCTCTAACTCTTGCTAATTTTCTTCTTCGGGGATTCCTATGATGCAAATATTGTTACGTTTCCAGTTGTCCCACAGTTCTCTTAAGCTGTCTTCCTGTGTTTTAATTGTATTTTCCTTTTGATTTTCTGATTGGTTGATTTTTTTTCCCCTATCTTCTAATACACTGATCCAGTCCTCAACTTCCTCTACTCTGCTGTTTACACCTTCCAATGTGTTCTTTATTTCTGATATGTCATTCTTGATTTCTTCTTGGCGGTTTTTAATTTCCAACTGGTTGATTTTCAACATCTCTATGTCTTTACTCATGCTATTGAGCTTCCTCAAGATCATGGCCCTGACTTCTTGTTCTGTTACGTTGCTTAACTGCTCCACATTTATCTCATCTTCGGTAGAGGTCTCCTGCTATTTCACTTAGCATTTGGTTTTTTGGCTGTGGGCTTTGGAGCCTGCCAAATTTTCCCTGTGGGTCTTGGTGTTCTGCTGTTTGTGGCTCCCTCTCCTGGGTTTGGATGAGTGAGAAAGGTCCCATGTTAAACACCACTGTCAAATTTTACTTTCCTGGTTAGAGTTGCTAGCCCAGGAATGGTTCGGTTATCCTCTAATTTTTTGCCTGGAGGCTATCAGTAGCCGTTACTTGAAGAGCCTTGGCTTCTTAGTTGAATGAGATACTCCCTCAGGTGCTCAGCATAAGAGGATTTCCCAAGGATAGGGCAGATGGTGGTTGTTAGAGAACCTCAATTTGCATTTCAATGGCCCACCTGGGTGGGGTTTAGTCTCTGAGGGAGGGGCTGCTGCCTCTCACCGGAGCTCTGAGAAGTGGTAAGATGGCCACTGTCATGCGTGGCTGCAACTCATCAAAAGCTCTGAGCACCCTCCAAATCCCAAGTATCCCTACACAGTCCCCATCCAGTCCATCCTCCCTCTCCCAGAGCCCAAGATGAATGGCTGTGGCTATTTTGTCGTCTGTTCCGGTTCTGCACTGTGGAGTACTTGAGAGTTGAACCCAAGTATGCTGCTCACAGCTAAAACCACTGCTGTCTGTGGGCTCCTAGCCCCCTTCTCACACCTCTGCAATCTTACCAGGATCAAGTCAGTGTCCCTGGTTATATGATCCTCGCAAGCTGCTTTTTTGTTGCTTTTTCCCTTCAATTTGTCTTCATTTTAGTTGTAATTCCAGTTTGGTCCTGGGAGATGGTCTGTGTAGCTTCCATTCACTCTGCCACCATTTTGGAATCTCTCCCATAAGAAGATTTTCAAAAAGTGGAGGAAAAAGGCAAGCTGTAGGGACCTCAGGGTCCAGGGAACAACATGGTGGTAAGTTCTGCAAGTTGGTTTTTTCTGGCCTCATATATCCCAGATTGGGTGCTGGAGAATTCAGTGACCCAGAAATGCCAATGAATACTGACCATAAAAAGACTCAACAAAAATTTGCTTCTCTAGCCAAAAGTGCAGAATAGGGGCAGCATAGCAAAACAGAAAACTTTTAGACAATAACTGCTCTGTTCTAGTCAAACACCACAGGAAAAACACCAGCCCCACCTTGATCAGCAAAGGCCAAGTGAGGAGCCTGGATTTCAGCTCTCATCCAGGTGGAATGTAGTATTCATCACTTTTGGCTGAGGTGGTATGCGGCTGAGTGGAAAATAAGTGGTACTCTGCACAGTTGCAATGAGGACCTCCATACATACCGTATCAGTGAAGGCCATGTGGAGAGCAATAACAAGGCACCCCTCTCCCTTCCAGCAAGAGTAGTGTCTGAAGAACATGGACTCTTACCCTGCCCACTGTAAGGAGGTGCTCCTTTCCCCCTATGGTGTTATGGAGAAGGAGGCAGAATCTGAACTTCTACCCCAACCTGGCAGTAAGAAAGCAGTGTCAGAGGAAACTAGCTAAAACAGAATATTTTAATAAGATCCAGAGTCTTATAACATAATACTCCAAATGTCTAGGATTCAATCTAAAATCACTCATTACAGTAAGAAAAATCTCAACCTAATGAGAAAAGACAACCAACAGACACTAACACTGAGATGACACAAATGGAAGAATTATATGAAAGAGATTTTAATGAATCTATTTTTAAAATGTTTCAACCAGCAATTATAAAGCACTTGAAACAAATGATAAAAATAGAAAATCTCAGAAAAGAAAAAAGAAAGTCTCAGAAAAGAAGTAGAAGATAACAAAATCCATATGAGAATTTTAGAACTGAAAATATAAATAGCCAAAAATATCTAAACAACTCAATGAATGAATCAAAAGCAGAATGGAGAGGACAGAGGAAAGAATGAGTGAACTTGATGGAAAAAAAAAAAACAACTATAGAAATTAGCCAGTCTAAACAACAGAGGGTAGCATATACTGGGGGGAAAAAAATTAAAGAGAATCTCAGGGACTTGTAAAACTATAACAAAAAAAAGTCTACATTCACACCATCAGAACACCAGAAGAAAAAGAGAAAGGGGCTGAAAAAGTACTTTAAAAAATAATGGCTGGAAATTTCCCAAATTTGGCAAAAGATTAATCTATGTATCTAGGGAGCTGAGTGAACTCCAAGTAGAATAACTCCAAAGAAACCCACACCAATGCACACCATAATCCTAAATCTAAAAAGAAAAAGTCTTGGTCCGGCCACTGTATCTCAGTGGACTGAGCATTGTCCCATGGACTGCGAGGTCTCTGTTTGATTCCCAGTCAGGGTACATGCCTAGGTTTTGGGCTCGATCCCCAATAGGGGGCATGCAGGAGGCAGCTGATCAGTGTTTCTCTCTCACATTGATGTTTCTATCTCCCTTCCTCTCTCTCTAAAAAAAGAAAATCAATAAAAACATATTTAAAAAGAAAAAATCTTAATTAAAATAAGAGAAATGACACCTAATGTATACAGCAAAAGCAATTCAAATTACAGCAATTTCTCATTAGAAAATATTAAGGTCAGAAGGAAGTGGCACATTTTTCAAGTGTTGAACTATTATGCCCAAAATTTCTATCCAGTGAAAATATCCTTCAGGAATATGCCAGCAGATCCACCCCCCCAAAAATGGCTAAAGGTAGTTCTTAAAACAGAAAGGAAATGATAAAAGAAAATGTAATGGAAAAAAGATCCAATTTTTAAAAGCAACAAAAAGATAAAGCACCTCCAGTAATTTCCACTGGTTCCCAGAATAGAATCCAAGTCTCCTTTCTCAAGCTTCCAGGCCCTATGTGATCAATGCCTTCCTATCTTTCTGGCCTCAGTTTCCTTCACCCCATCCTTTGCTCCTTTTGCTCAGGTCTCACTAGCCTTTCAGTTATTAAAACTTGCCAAGCTCCTTCCTGGGCCTTTGCTCAGGCTGTCCCCTCTGCCTCAAATGCTCCTCCTGCTCCAGCATGCCTCCTCCCCAACCAACCCATGCTCAACTTCATAGAGGAACTTTCTAACCCCAAATCTGAGCATCTCCTACAATTATTTTCCATTGTACCCTGTGTTTTTTGCCTTTTAGAATATATCACAATTTGTAATTATGTGTTCATTTTTTGGTGTGTTTATCTGTTCTAGACCATGTATACCACAGAGGGCAAAAAACAGCTTTCTCTGTCATCACTGTAACCTGACATCTAGTACCTGGGTAGATGTTCAATAAATATTTGACTGAATGAATGAATCAATTAAAGGCAGGGTTGGGAAGTCAGGTCTCTGGGAGAAGAAGCTATGTGGTGTCTTGAAGATAACCTGTGCTGAGGTCAGCACTGATCTTAGACATCATTGCTATAAACACCAGACTCCAATGACATTAACTTTTCCTTGTTTAAAGAAATGGCTACATGGCCTCTGAAAGACATCAGACCCACCTGATGTGCAGAAAGTGGAGCATGGGTTAGGCCAGAATTTTTTCATCCAGAGGGGTAGGACCCCAGGTGTGCTCCACATGTGCAGGTAGGTAGAGATCCGGCTGGTCTGAATGGCCACCAGATTGCCACCAACACCTGTATGGAGAAAAAGAATCTGGTTTCGCCTTCTTTATGCCAGTTTCTGAGTTCTACCCCTTATTTTAAGTTTACTTTCTCCAGAAGTCTTCTGATTCAGCACTTGATTTCTTTTCCTTCCCTCCCAACTTGACCACAGATCTTGTTTAGCACCAAACAAGGGTGGCCTGGACCTCATTAGTGAAGTATCAAGGTAGTAACTGTATCACCTTGACAGCTGTTAAAATAAAGGAAGTGCTGCAAAGTAGGTTCTCAATACATATTTGTTGGTTAGAAGAGTGAGAGGTAGGGAAAGAGGGAATTCAGGAAATGGGGGGGTAAAAGAGGGAGGAGAGAGTCAACAGAGAGGTCTATGAAAGGATATCTTGAAAAGCCACTGAAAGCCATAGGAAGTGACAGGAACCAGACTACAGACTGGAATATCTGAGAAACAAAAGGGATTTTTTTTTTTCACCTCAAGGTACAAAGGAGAGGAAAGAGAACAGTGGGTAAGAGCAGTAAGGAAGGAGAGATGATCATATGATGTCAGAGCTGGGGCTTACGCTGAGTTCCTGGCTTCCACAGGGAGCTGATGGTGTCCAGCTCTGCCAGGGCCAGAGGGCCCAGCTGAGCTCCTTCTGCAGGGCAGAGTTTAGGGTTGGCAGAGAACAGAGCCCACCGATGGTGACCATCTCCTTTTGAGGTTGAGTCAGGTTGCCCCCATTCTAATTCCTCAGCTCCACAGATAACAATCTCTCACTGGATCAGATGTGTCCCAGTGATCTCCAGTGGCAAAGAAAAACTGCCTCAGGCTTCCAGAAGATGCAAAACATGGTCTGTGGGCAGAGGATGACTAGCTATTTTGTCTGGCCCACAGATGATTAAAAAAATAAAATCACTCAAATTAATTGGCAGCATTTACAAATTAGGCCTTTAATCCAGATTCCCAGCTTCTCCTAATGTCAGCTCAGGCAACTCTATACCTTAGTTCCTACCAGGCAGTAAGTGGCCAGAGCTGGACAGGCACTACTCCCTTCACACCAGGAACATAAGCCCTGTTTCCCATCACTCCTTACTGCTTAGGTATTGCCTTACCTACTTAACTCATTCAAATTGCTTTCTTGGCTTCTACAGGTATCTGAGTTAGTGCTATCCAAGGCTATCTTTCCAAGCTGATGGCCATCAGGGCCTGACTTAGCTATCGCTGTCCTCACTCACAATGGCCAGCCCTTGTGCTGGCAAAAGGCCCTATGGGACACTGTTGAGGTGCTGACCTACTGGGTAGCATACTGACATTCAAGGAACACAGGCCTGAGTTCCCATGGAAATGTGTGTGTTGATGGGAGGCTGGCCCAAGAACCTCTGAAGCCTGTTTCTGAAGTCCCAGAAAGACAGAGAATGGGCACCAAGAAAACTGCAATAAGTTATCATATTTGGTTCCTCCCCTGACCAGTGGTCCCATTTATGGAGCTTTATCAGAAACCAGACACATACCAAGCTTTGGTTAAAAGAGGGGTCCTCACACAAATGCCCACAGGGTCTAAGCCTAAAAGATGAATCAGTGAAGAGTTGAGTAAAAGACAATAGGGAACAGAGAGGATTGAAATACATTGGATAACACAGGTCCTGTCTCAATGTAAATCCAGTATTGTTATAGCCTTGCTTTATGAGAAGACAGAAATCCAGATTTTTATGTGTAATGTCTGAGTTTTAAATGTCACGAGTGAATCCAAGTTAAAATAAAAGAAAAACTATGAGAGGCCAACACTCTAGTTCTGAAGGCCACATTCATTCTGCATGAATAAATCCTGGGTTAAATTGTGAGTACCTTCAAGGCATGGAATTTAGGTAGCTCTGTGGGAAAATCAGATCTCAGTGGCACCTATGAGGAGTAGGGTGTGATCTGGTGGAGCAATGGGCATGCTTTAACCCCTGAGGTCTTCTTTTATCTGAGAAAAATCAGCCTCAGTAGCCTCTGCCCGCTCACCCTCCTGACTGCCTCTGAGAGCCTGGGGCCAGACCTCTGACATTACTGTTGCTTAGGTCCCACCACTCGGGCCCAGGGGGCCAACCCAGCCCAGGGACCCCAGGTGATGGGGATTGCCAATACCTACCACATATGATGGGAGTAAATATGGCCATGCCTTTGTACTGCTCTTTGGAAATGGTTTTGTTCAAGATGAGCCCTCCAAAACTGGGGAGAGAGCAGATGGCAGTTAAATAACTAGAGTTTATGCTTTAAGTGGCCTTGCAAACTGCCTTCTCAAGCTGTCTTTTCAGCTTAGCAAACACTTTCCTTACCCTTATACAATATGTCTGTTGTGGGCCGCCTGGTCTCCACAGTGTACCCTGCACCTCACACATGCATTTTCATCTCTAGTCTTGTCTTAGCTATTCTGGAAACCCTTTAGATAATGTCTGCCCACTAAAAACAAACAACAAACTCCTTTCCAAGGCCTCTAAGCTAGCTGGGCTATCTTATGACAGCCCCTGAACTGCAACTGAGCTGTTCCTTAGCAGAAAACAAAGCTGCATGAGTATCTTCTCCTGCCCCTTGTTCTTGGAAGATGCTACAACAAGACTTCACTCCCACAAGTCCCTGTTGTTTAGCAAAGGCTGTCCTACCCCGAGAGCCCTGAAGAAGTGAGATCAATTTGCATAAGGAACCAAGGAGCAAAGATTCCTACACCATAACCTCTCCTCTCTGAGAGTCAAAGTTAGGAAAGCAGGCTGGGCTTCTCCAGGCTCTCTGTTGCTCTGGCAAAGGTAAACAGCACTCCCTTCCTCTCAGAACAAACAAGTGTAGGGTTCTTGGTAAGAAAAACAGAGATAAAGAGTAAAGAGGTATTGTCTGGCCAGTGTGGCTCAGTGGATTGAGCGCCATCCCATGGACTGAGACATCTCGGTTCGAGTCCCATTCGATTCCTAGTCGGGACACATGCCCAGGTTGCGGGCTTGATCCTCAGTAGAGGGCATGCAGGAGGCAGCCAATTGATATTTCTATCTCTCCCCCTTCCCCTCTCTCTCTAAAAAAAAAAAATCAATAAAAACATTAAAAAAAAAAAAAAGAGTAAAGAGGTACGACTCAATCAGCACTGAAAATTAGTGAAGGAATCCACAGCTGCAGTTCACTCAACCATAGGCACAGGGCAGTGAGCCTCACTTTCCTTAGGGGTTCCTTAGCTCTCAGGCCACTCTCTTGAACACAAAGCCAGGGGGGATGGCACAGGGAGGGAGAGAGAGGACAAAGACCCTCACTCATGCTCACCTGCTAAACACCATTGCTAGGACAATCGGGAACCACCCAAACTTTAGGATCTTCACAATGGGTGGGTTCTGCTTTGCAATGAGGATCAACACCGGAGTCAGGACCATGAAGCCGATACAGACCAAGGGAGTCAGAAACCGACTGTCTGCAAAGAGAACAAGGAAAAAAGGGATGCATGCAGCTGTGTGGTCAGGGCCAAAGCACAGAGCACAGCATGGTGGGCTGTGGCCTGGTTTAGGGAGATGAGAGGTGGGCTGGGAACTAAAGACTCTAGAGGTCTAAGGAGACACTTCTGTCCTCATCAGTTTCAGGTCAACTGTCCTACCATACCTTCCAAAAAATTTTCTCCATCCTGTTAAGCAACTGGAAAAGCTCTTCTCTGCCCCTCAGGTCCTACCACCTTCACTTTCACTTCTCTGGTTTGGTATTTTTCTGACATAACCTCCTCTGCCTCCTCTCAGCCCAGTGAGCTCTAAGCAAGTATCAAACACTCTCGGAGACAGCAGCCTATAGGGGTGCCTACTTGCAGGACATTTTTGCACCTATTTCAACTTTTCTAGAACTTCTCATAAGCCTCAGAAGAGGTTCCACCTCCTATTCTCCCAGTCTTATGGTGAATACTTCCATTCCCCTGCACGTGGCTTGTCTGCCTGACTACATCGGCAGGTGTGGCAGTCCATGGCTCACATCTTGTCAGTGAAGATTTATGTGATACATGCCAGGCCCAGTGACCAACCCCATACCCTCCTGCCCAGTGCACTCAAGAGAAACCCAGTCTAATTGGAGAGATGGACAATCCCACAATTACTCAACATCTAATAAGTCACGAGTTGAAACACACAATTTCAGTAGGGGTACTGCAGGGGCAAAGAGGAAGGGTCTGGGAACACTTGTGACTCGTATTTATTTTGCAAATCAAACATGTTTAACCCATATACAAATCTTATTTACATTCGGTTTGGTCTAAAAATAAAATTAGGAGTGAGGGCCTGTTGACACAAGATGTATGAACTCCTCCCTCTGCTGTTGAGCAGGTTCCCAGGCCGCCTCCTGAGAAGCCCTGGCCTCCCCTGCCTCATAGCTACAGGGAGAGCATGTGTTGCTACTGCTGCTGCCCATGACTGATAATTCCTCCTTAGGAGTCAGTTCTTGGGCAGTTTACATGTGCCCAGTGTGAACTACCTTCCCCAAGGAGGCACTGTCACCTGTGAGAATGTGCTAAAATGGCCAGACCAGTCTCAGGACCTTCCTGGCCTCCTCTCATACCCTGGTCTAAGGTGGAAACGGACAATCTATATGTCTGCTGACTTGAGGAGCATGTCCCATCTAACACAGTTGGGAGAGCTTGAGGCACTTGCTGGATAATACCTTGACTTGTTCAGTGACTTCAGGCTTTGCCTCTATAAAAGGAGGATCTCTGACACCACGACAGACCTCGCAGGTTCCTTCTTGTGGTGCCTGATTTGAACATTGCAGGCTGGGTGCAAACATTCCAACTCAGTCCTGCTGGTGGACCCCTCCTCCTTGGGACCCCCTACCTTTATATTTATAGAAGAAGCTGCTAATGAAAGCCAGAATGGACAACGTAATAAGGTCTCCCAGGCTGGCTGCAATGGGTGTGGCAATGTTGTCTGGGTTGACCCCGAGCTTTCGAGCACCAATCACTATACAGACCATCAGCAGTCCTGCAGAGAGGAGAGAGAAGAGACTGAAAGCTCCGGAATTCAACAGACCCCAAAGAGGCTCAGCAGCACAGGATGAGAAGGGACTCAGGAACTAAAGCCAGGCCACTCGAGAAGGCCAGGAGTGTCGAATTCTGCTTTGTGACTTTCTGGCATGATGCTAAGAAGCAGCATGGAAGCTTTGATGACACACTCAAACCCATTGGGGAGATAGCAAACAGGACGTTCCTGGGCTTCCAAACAACTAGGAACTATAGACATGAAGCTCACGCCCCTCACTGCAGGGAAGATGCTCCAAACCTGCTCTGAGCAATGGGAGCCCAAGGGCTGAGTATCGCTTCCCATGCCTGCTGGGATCCCTGGAGAAGCAGATGCCAGGGTGAAATTAGTCAAGTGAGCAGTTTGTTAAGGGCAAAGTCTGTGAGGGAAATGGGAAGGGTGGCGGTACAGGGCAGCCCCGGCAGCAGGAGAGAGGGAAAGTAGGGAGAGCACATGCACACTGCAGTGCAGTGCTGGAGAGCTTGGCACGGTTGTCCCTCAAGCCAAAGACACAGAGTGGGTCCATGTCTCTGGGGAACAGGCCCATTTCAGGAGCCCTGAACAGCTACCACTGTGTGGAGCCAGCATTTGGCCTGTGACTGCAGGACTGATGGATTTTAGGGTGCAGCACTGAAGACCTACTCTGCAGCTGGAAACCTGAGAGGTACCTTTTAGTGGCCACCTCGCCTCTCCAGATCCTACTTTCTGTTCTGACTTTGTTCTGTGGTGATCATCACATGTGGCCTTCTAGCCCCTATCCGCTCCTTAGGACTTAACCAACAGCATCTCGTGTGGGTCTTTAAGAAGACACTTTGTATCTTGGCTATTGGTGTTTTAACACTTTACCTTTATGTCGTCTTAAAGCTGGGTTGACCCTGAGGTTTCGAGCTACAGTTTGTGCTGATTTTGTGACCAGATCATAGCTACTTAATCTCTTTTGAAATATCAGTTCTAAATAAATCTTAAATGGCATGGCTAAACTGGTGGTCTGGTGACAATCCCACTGAGACTATACATATAGAGGGATACCGTCAGTTTGAGAGCACTTAGTAAAAACCACCAACACCTCCTAGCTTTATGGCACAGTCATATTATGGCCACACTGTGAGACATTGGCAACATTTCTGACCTTCCACACATCTTTGGTTGATCCCAATTATGTCCATGCAGCTGAGCTTCACCCCATATCTGGGCTTCAGTTTTCTCATCTATAAAATGGGGAGCTATGGCATTCTGTACAAGGCCACAGATGAACAGGGCTGGTCTTCTGAATCATTTGATTGTACTGTTTTCAGAGAAGACTTCATGCCAAGTATCTCCTGGGCTCTATTTCTCCAGAAGGTTTGGAATACTCACCCTGCCCTTCCTTGACCAGACTAACTGTACCCTACCCCATGCACATGCATAGATAGGTATGTGACCAGGTAGATGCAAACATCCTGCCTGGGAAGCACAGCTTGTGAATTTGCTCCTAGGCTTCTACACTCTTCCCTCTCCTCGCAATCATTGGCCCTAGTATACAAATGCAGCCATTCCAAATATCTATTGCCTGGCAGGATCAAAAATCATCAAATAACCTGCTGCATTAATTTACAGAGAGTTGAGCTCAAAGGTGTTTTGTAGGCAGTCAGATGGCGAGACAGAAGTGTAAATACAAATCCAATTTATAAAGTTATCACTTGTTGCTTCTTACACCTACATATGTTGCAACACACACATAAACATACAACCCACAAGAGAACCAGAATAAAGTTCACTCATTCACGCCCTGGCCAGTTTGGCTCAGCGGTTGGAGCATCAGCCTGCAGACCAGAGAGTCCCAGGTTTGGTTCCCGCTAGGGGCACGTACCAAAAAAAAAAAAAAAAAAAAGTTCACTTATTCAGCAAACATTTGGGAGCTGGTTACATGCCTGGGCCTGTTTTAAGTAACTATCAGGCTCTATACTCTCACCACTTAAATGCTTGTCGGGTGTAGGAACAGACAGTATACAACGAAATGAACAAGCATTTGAAGTATATAAATAGGATACTAAAAACAAAGCACAACTGGGAACAGGGCTACCCTAGAGAGCTGATCAGAAAAGGCCTCAGAAAGGAAGAGTTACTAACACTTAATTGGAATTATCTGTATGTCCTGTACTGATGTCTCACTCTGAACTATAATATAAACATCACAAAACAGGATCCCTGTGCATTTTGTTCACTGGTGTATTTTTAGCACCATAACAGTGCCTGGCCAGCAGCCAACACTCAGTAAATACTGAGTAATAATGAATGAGTGACATTCGATTGTAATTGCACAGCCAACTGGTTCTCTATTGACGTGTGTGAGATCCAAGTATGGGGTTATATCTGCCAGTGCCTCCATCTTTCTGCCTTCTACAGACATGTAGGAAGCATCTGCTATGTGGCAGGCAGTATGATAGGAGCAGCAGATGGAAAAATGGGACATGGGGGCCTCCCGCTCTGAGATGCTGACATTATAGTGGGAAGATGAGACAGAAAATGAACAAAGAAACAAGATAATTTCAGATTTTCCCCAGTGTTCTAAAAGGAAAATGGCATATTACAGTACAACATGGTAGCAATGGGGAAGGGGAGAAGGAAGGAAAACAGTACTTGTGAGGGGTAGTCAGAAAACACCTCTCTGAAGAGATAAAATTTTTCAAGCTAAAATGGAGCCTTGCTCTCCACCATGACTGCAGACTGCAGAGCCCACCACAGGCTCATATGCAAGCCATGCTCAAGAAATGGTTAAGGGCTGATTGAATAAATGAATGAATGAATAGATGAACAGATGAATGTATCTACACAGCACAGGCCAGTTCTTCAAACAAGCTGAGAGAAGAGAAATGGAGATAGCAGCTACCCCAGCACACACATCCTACCCAGGTTGGGGTCACTGTCCTCTTCACCTGCCCACAAAGTTGGTCATAACCTGGAAGGCTCTTCCCCATTCCCTGGAAGGATGCCCAAAGCTCCACCATTAGTGCTCTGATTTTTGGAATTGAAAGCACAAGGAGCTGAGAGTGGAGCTCTGAGAAGTGGAGTATGGTGGCCAGCCAGGAGGAGGAAGGATACTGGGGTTGAGGCACAGCTCACCTAGAGCAAAAGATGCAAGGAAGGCAGTGATGACACTGCTGGCACACAGCAACTCCACTTTCGCAAAGTCTAACTCCCCCCTAGACACAGCTCCCAGCAGCAGGGCAACCACAGCAGCCAGGAGCCCCAATACAGTGGCCTGCACCTGTTGGGCAGAAATCAGAAACATGAGGAAGGGTCCCTCTGACCACTGCTGCTCCTCCTTGCTCTTCACCACACCTCCTTTCTGTCCTTGAGAGGTCAGAGAAAAACAAAGACTAACACCTTCCTTCAACTCAATTCCCCTAAAAACTACTACTTTCCCCTCTGCTTCTTGTTCCATGCCATCTTCAATCACAGAACGTAGTTCATCTTCTCAACTCTTGGTCAAGGGTACCAGCCTCTGGTTCACAGCTCCTCTCACACTGCTCTGGGCAAGTGTTTTATAACCTTCAGCAGCACAGACCATGGACTTCCTCTCACAGAGATGCTCCCTGATCTGCAGCTACAGCTCAGAGGCCTTTGAGCACGCTTCCCATTTCTCTCTCTTCCTTTCTTCCCTTGGCACTTGCCCTGCATGCTGGTGCCCTGCTCTCTGCATTGTCTCCTATCCCCAGCTGCAGTTCCCATCTCATCCAAGTGGGACACGTACAGATGAGGACACATCTCTGTACCCACTCAGGCCAGTGCTAGGATGTACCCCAGATCTGAGTATCAATACTAGCATAAGCTCTCAGTAATCCAAAACATCTCAAGGGAAACATGTTGTGTTACTAAAGAAGGCTAAATAAACAGAGTTCTACCATATATATGGATGAGGAGAGTTAGTCTTTTAAAGATGAAAATTGCTCTCCAAGTTCACCTATGTAATTCCAATCAAGATCCCAAAAAGATTTTTCATAATACTTAACTCACTTTAAATTTCACAAAGATAAGTAGATGTGTGAGAATAACTATAACAATTTTGAGAAAGAAAATCAAGAGAGAATTTTGGCATATTTATTATCAATATGTATTTTAAAGCTATGGTAATTAAAACAGGGGGTACTGGAAGAAAAACAGATCAGCAGCAGAATGTAGTCCAGGAATAAAATCATGATTATATAAAAATTTAGTATGATAAAAGTGGCATTGCAAATCTGTATGAAATATTTGACTAGTAAATAAATAGGGTAAGAGAGATTGGATATTTGTTTGGGAAAAATAAAATAAATTCTTATTTTATAACATTCACACACGTGCACACCTAAACATAAAAATCTAAAGTGTGGTCCTGGCCCACTGGGCTCAGCGGTTAGAGCATCAGCCTGTGGACCAATGAGTCATGGTTTGATTTCAGTCAAGGGCATGTACCTCAGGTTGCAGTTAGTCCCTGGCTGGGGTCGTGTGGGAGGCAACCAGTCAATGTGTCCCTCTCATGTCAATGTTTCTCTTTCTCTCCCTCCCTCTCACTCTATCTGAGGATAAATGGAAAAATATTCTTGGGTGAGGATTAAAAAAAAAATCTAAAGTGTGAAATAAAAAAAATATAGAATAATATGTTTCAGATTTCAGATAGGGGAGTCCTTCTACTAAAGATATTTCATTTAAAATCTATAAAGAAAAATATTGATAAACTTTATTTAAGTCCAAATATAACTTCCATATGATACAACATACCACAAAATTCAAAGACAAAGATATACTTGGAGAAAATATTTCCAACAACATAATAATGGGTTAGTATCCAAAATAATGAAGTCCATTTTACAAATCATCAACAACAATAAGATAACCTGACAGAAAAATACACAAGAGATGTGGACAGGGAATTCACAGAAAAAGAAATACAAATGACCATGAAACATGCAAAAATATGATCAGGAAAATTTTAAATGTAATCATAATTTGAAAACATCGTATGTATTTGTAACTGCTGCTGGTCTTCCTCTATTACATGATAAACACAACCTTATTTTCTGCTGGTGTCCTCAGCTCTGAGAAGAGAGGCTGGATATCACCCTCATCTCTGCTCACCAAATAAATGGATGAATGAATCTATGACTAGATGGGATACACTATTTTTACCCATCAGACTAAGTAAAATTAAAATTTGAAAGATTGATAATATAAAATACATATTGACAAATATGTGGAAAACTGGTCTCATACATTGATGGAGGTAAAATTTTGGAGAAAAATGTGTATGTAAATTACCCCTGTGCCTTATGATCAAGCATTTTCCAGGGAAACAGTTGAACATTTGTCAAAGAACCATGTGATGATACCTGAATGTAAGGATAAAACACAGAGAAGCTGATGGTGACTAAGTTTCCAGCTTGAATAAATTATAAGACTATTCACTAGGCATAGCTAGCATGATTAATTATCAAGTGCAAACTAGACTCCATGCCTCTCCTATAATCCATATTTCACAACATCCTACCTTACAGTTAAGGTAAAATCACTTGCCTCAGGGTCCTCAGTTGGTTGACTCCCAGAGTGAGCTTTCAACCATCAAAATAGACTGAGTTGGGAACTGCAGAGCAGGTGCAAGTGAGGAGGGAAGCTTACAAGGCCAGATCTGGCTATGCTGTTTCAAGGATACTTTTGGGATAGGCAGATGAAGGGGCCCAGTAGAGAGCTACAGATAGGAGTTCTGGAATCCACGTGATAGGTAAAGTCAGTATCCTCCTAATTTGATGAACAGGGAGATAGGGCTAATCAAGTTTGTGTGTCACCAGTTAATAAATAATGGCCTTAACTCTAGGCCTGTCTGATCTCAGAGTCCAGGTTTTTGTGTGGCAACAGTCTGCCCCCAGCCAGAGAAGCCCAGGAGGTTCTGGATAGAGCCACCTCCTGTCTAGATCCCACCCCAGCTTTTCCTAAGCCCCTAAGCCAATCTCTTCCCAGAATCCTCCAGCCTCGGGCTTCCTACCCTGGGAATCCCAGGACGAGCACTTAGTCCAACTAGGGTCTGCTAATAGAAGGTACAAGTTTGAAAGAGCATGCAGCATTTAAGGGACAAAAGGGAGGATTTTGCAAAGGCTAAGAAGAAATAGGCAGAGAGGCAGGAGTGGGGACAAGGAGGACTTTCCAGGTAGGAATGATCTGCAGATGCCCAGAAAGAATAAGTATGATCACATGATCAAGGCAATCACAGGGCAATGGCAGCAACCCTGGCAAGTACACTTTGGACAGAGTAGGAAGAAAAGGCAGTTTTCACCCCAGTTCTATGAGAGAGAGAAGTAAGCAAGTACAGAGGAATCTTTTCAAGAAGCCTCCAACTACTGCAAGAGTGTGGTCTGGTGGGCGTGGGATGAATGGATGAGTGGCTTCCTTCCCCAAAGCGCAGTCCAGAGCACAGAAACAAGGGCTCACTTAGTCATCACTCTTCCCACCTGCCTGGCTGCAGATTCAAAAGAGGGGAGGGGATCAATCAATCAGACAAAGAGGAGATTCACCTGAATGAGGGCGAGGTTACTGTTAATGACTCTGTGTTGCTCCCGGGGGTCATCAATTTGTCCAGTGTTGGCCTAGAATGGAGAGAAAAGGGCAAAGGGTAAGTCTGGCTAGGCCCAAAGCCAAGTCAGTCCTTCCTGGAAAAAGGGTAGTCTCAGGAAATAAATCAGCAAATACCACTTCAGTGATGTCAGAACAAATTATTCTTGCCAACTTTCAAAAGTGGAAAGGTAAAGACACAGGTACCTTGGAGAATCAGATGGTGTCATGAACCAACTCTCCCATACCCAAGTGTGCAAATGCACACACATGTATGCATGCATATATGCATACACAGGTATGAATGTCACCCACAATTTTAGGGCCACCTGACTTCCAGGTTCACCCACAGACCACAGTGGAGGACACTTCTGTGAACCTGGCCTGTGCCCTCTGCCAGATTTTTGGCCCCATTCTCCTGAACAGCTTCAATTCCTTTATCTCCACTCCAGTGAATCACATCTCAAAGGACCACCAACCACCCAACTTCCTCTCTGCAAATCATCCCATTTCAGAAACACATGTTAAGTCCATCTTCTCTTAGTATTAAAAAACCAGGATCAGAAAGATGATTTTTCTCCTTTAAAAATGGTAGTCAGATCAGAATATCATAGCATTTGCCAGCAAAATTCAATATGTAGATAAGAAAAAGTTTCAAAGGAAATATCTTTTCCTAGCTCCTTTGTGCTGAGTTCATTAAGTTCCTGAACTCCAAGGGAAAAAAATATATATATATAATCACTTTTCTTTGTACAATAAAGGGAGGAGCTTTTTTGTCTTTAGCATGATGGACATTTGGGACATATCATAACAGTCATGGAGCCTCAGTCAACTCTTCCTACAGACAAACACCTACCTCAGGGGTCCTCCTGGGAACAAGAGAACAAGGTGAAGCAGAACACAGCTGCACAACCCAAGACATGCCCAAAACACAAGGCCAGCAGGCTGGTCTCTCCTCTCTGCTCCACACCTGTGCTGTGCATTCCAAGGACTCAACGTTTCCTATCAATCAACCAATTCCAAGGCTAGTGCTACTCTTATCAAATAAGGGGCTTGCTGCTGACCCATGACCCTTGAATATGATTCTGAAAGGTATTCCTTCCTCAAGACATTTTATTTTCATCTCTGTAAAATGATTAAAATAGACAAATCTATTACCTGTAAAACCCACACAGGAGCCATTTTTCTCTGTGTGAAGGTGCCTGCTGGTGCTCACAGGTATATTACAGGACAGGGAGTAGAGGGTTGAAGAAACTTGGAGATCTGATGGAGAGAAGAGGGAAGAAGAGTACCAGAGGGAAAGAAACAGTGGGAAGAGGTGGGATGTTAAGGAATTAGGATTTCAGAATGTCCAGAAGCATTTCTAGGGCAGACGATGGGAATGGGCAGTTGGGTGGAATGGTGGTGAAGGTCACAGGAGCTAAAGCTGTCCAAAAAATGTGAAGCTTGGGTTTTGAGTGAATTATCCATGTGCGTGCTGAAATCATCCAGGTTGCTATAGGGATTTGGTGTGGAGATGAAGACCATTAGAGGGCCCACTTTCCAGGACTGTGGGGGATTGACTGAGTGGCAAAGGAGAAAAGGAAGTGGGGCAGGATGGTGAGGGTACAGCACACCTGCCAGACCAGCAGGATACACCATGGGTAGAGGTCCTCAGGGAGCAGGTCTCCATCAAGGTAGAGGGACATGGTGGTCCTAGAGAAACCAGGTCAAGAGACTGAGGAACAAAGCCAGCCTCAAGTACAGGCTTAGTAGCTTTTTGCTAAGACTGCAAAGAGAAAATTTGTGTGAAGTTGGAGCATCTTTTAGAGAGACCAATCCAGATTCACTTCAATGGAAGAGTTTAGGGAAAGCCCTTCCTAAATATGTATTTGGATCACATATATTTACATATTTTAAATCTCTTTTAATCTTATAAATATAGGTTTCTAAGAGAAATCCTGTGGGATCCTTTTTCATTCTAGATTGTCTAAATCTTTCCTTATTGTCTGCATCGAACAGGCTACTTTCACTGATTGTACCATGAAGTGATGAGTTTCTCCAGTCTCTAGCTCTGGGTTGTGCCTCGAAGGCTGATCTGTGTGGCTCCATGTACAAGCTCCCTTGTTCTACTGCTTCTGCTTGGTTCTGGCCAGCAGAGAGCCATGAAAAGATACTGGAGGGCCAGCAGAGAGTGAGGTTGGGGTGTGCATATCTCTGTCTTTCCCACTGGCCAGTGGCTATGTTCCTTCACCCAGACCCACAACTCCAGCAAGATGGCCTTCTATAGCCATAGGTTCTGGAAACAACCTCATCTCCTGCCCCTTTAGGCCTTGAGTAATCATTACTTCCTACTGTTGCCAGTCCTGTGGTGCTTCACCATCCCTTTGTGGTTTCCCATAACTCTGCCCATAACTTGGTGAATGAATTCATTAAACTCTGCTCAACCCCCAATCTGGGTGTGCCACCTCTTTCCCATCAGGATCTTAACTTACTCAGTAAGTTATGTCTTCAGAAGGACATTTAGCCCATTCATAGTACAATATGATTTGTCATTCCTTTGTGTATTTTTTTTCTAATCACAAAAAATACATATATTCACTGGATTAAGATGGAGATTGAATGTAAATTTTGCTATCATTCTCCCTGCCCAAATTAGAGAGTAGGGAAAGACAATCTTTTAATTTGTTCCAAAGTTAATACCTTTCACACAGCTTCTCCTGATGTTAACATCTTACATAGCACAGGACAATCATTAACTCTTAACAGACATCAACACTTAACACTGGTATGACACTATTGACTAAATAACAGAATGTATTTGGACTTCCCAAGTTTTTCCACTAATATCCTTTTTCTGTTTCAGTAACTAATCAGGATCGACCACTGAATTTAGTCATCACTGTCTCGTTGGTCTACTCCAATCTGTGACAGTTCCTCACCTTTGTTGTCTTTCATGACTCTGACCCTTTTGAAGAGCACTGATCACATATTCTGTACAATGTCCTTCAACTTGGCTTTGTCTGGTGTTTCCTCATGATTAAACTGAGATTATGGGTTTGGGGGGAGAAGACTGCAGAGGTGACATGCCCTCCTCTTTGGTATCTGAGGGTGTATGATAACAAGGCTGATCATAGGTGATGCTAACCTTGATCACTGGAAAAGGTGTATCTGACAGGAATCTCTAGTTCTCAACCTTCCTAATGCTGCAACCCTTTAATACAGTTCCTCATGTTGTGGTGACCCCCAACCATAAAATTGTTTTCGTTGCTACCTAATAACTGTAATTTTGCTACTGTTATGTCTTAGGCGACCCCTGTGAAAGGGTTGTTCGACCTCCAAAGGGGTCGCGACCCACAAGTGAGAACCACTGCTCTAGTGCAAACTTAACTATTTTTCCTTTGCCATATTCTATTAGTTGGAAGTGAGTCATTAAGTCCAGTACATACTCAAGGGGAGAGGAACTGAACTTCAGCTCCTAGAGGACAGCATATCAAAGATTTGAGGACATATGCTAAAACTACCATAGCAGTTCACAAATATGTGGGGAGATACTCTGAGGCTATGTAAAGATACTACTCCTTAAAGTACCACCCACTAGTTCAACAACAGTTTTGCCTACAGTGATCACCATGGTATTCTTATTAACAATATTTCTTTATTGATTTTAGAGAGAGAGAGGAAGGGAGAGGGAGAGAGAGACAGCGATGAGAGAGAATATCAACTGGCTGCCTCCTGCATGCCTCCCACCGGGGATCAGGCCCACAATCTGGGCAAGTGCCCTGACTGGGAATCAAACTGGCTACCTCTTGGTGCATGGGTCACCACTCAACCACTGAGCCACACCAGCTGGGCTGATCACTATGGTATTCTAGTGGTGATTTTGTATTTCTTTCCACATTTATAAATTTAAATTGTCCTCTAAGATAGAGTTGTCCCTTCTCCCCCATTTAATTATTGACTTAATCATTTATCTGTATGGTATGTATGGTCTCATGGGTAGTTATTTTATTCTTGAGGTCATGAGACAATACTATTTATTTTGTTGCTAAAATTGTTCTAGTTGCGGGCGACTCGAATTTTTTCACGTTGGTTCCTACTTCTTTCTGACATGCCCCCCATCTCCATTTTAGCGCTTCCTTACTTTCTGGCACTATCAGATAGTCCAGATTCATCTTGTATTTTCCCTGCCCCCGCCCCAGAATCAGCCATTTTCCCAAGGATGACAGTTCTTTTTATTAGAGAATGGCATCAGAAACAAGGTCTAGACACTAGGGGCACTAGGCACTATTGAGGTGGTATTGCTTCTAGGTCCTCATAGTAGATGGAGCTAGGACATGTATGCACACCCATTTATATTTATTTTTTTATCTGTCTAAATATATTTTAAGACAAACATGAATTCATACTTATATCTCTGCCTCCAATCCACTAGGATTCATTCTAGCATTGAGGAGACAGTTTTGTTTTGTTTTTTAATGAAAAAGAGTGCTGGAAAACAAGAGGAGTTATCTATAGTTTAACACAGATTAAGAGGAATTTCTGAGCAATGGAAGGCTCATCTGAGTTAGGTTGATAGAAGAACCCATAACTGAAAATGAAAGCAGGAAAATCTTATGGTCCAAAGTAGAGGTGGCCCTGGGGACAATGGAGCAGAGGGGAGCCTGGGAAAACTGAAACAGTATTTGGTTCAGAAAGCAAAGCAGGAGGTTTAAGGAGGTTGGTCTCTTCACTTGCCTGACTGATTTGTGCCAACAGTGGGATACCTGGAAGTAGTAAGAGTGTTTATTGGGATAAGAAACGGCAGAACAGTGCCTAGAGTGGCCACTGGAGGGACACTGAGCCCCCAGATCCATAAGACGAGTTAGTGGCATATACCTCCAGGCAACACATTCTGACTCTCCCCTCAATCACCAGAGGAGATTCCAAAGAAGGAAGCATTCACAGATATACAGAGTAAAAGGAAATCTAAAATACAACTGCAAGAGAATAAATTTCTGTTGTTTTAAGCCACTAAATATGCAATAATTTGTTATAGCAGAAGCTCTAGGGGAGAATCTGTTCCTTTTTCTTTTCCAGCAGGTAGAGCAACATTTTTTTGGCTTGTGGCTCCTGCTCCATCTTCAATGTGACAGAACATCTCTGGGACTCTGCTGTTCTCATAGGCCTTCTTCTATTCTGTCGGAAACTTCTCTCTGCTTACCCTTTATAAGTAGTCTTATGATGACACTGTGGCTCTCCCATGTTAAGGTCCTTAACTTAATTACATCTGACAAAACTTTTTCCTCACATCTTTTTTTTTTATCCTCCCCTGAGGACATTTTTTTTTTGCCCTTCTCTTCAGATAAAATGGGAGGGAGAGAGGAAGGAAGAGAGAGAAACATCGATGCAAGTGACACATCAATTGGTTGCCACCCACATGACCCCAACCGGGGCCAGGGACAAACTGCTACCGAGGTACGTGCCCCTAGCAGAACTGAACCCGGGACTCTCTGATCCGCGGGGTGACGCTCTAACTGCTGGGCCAAACTGGCGAGGGCTCCATACATCTTTGAGGGCTGTTGTTCACCCAACCACCTCTTACCTATCTTTCCCACTTCCTATTCCAAGTCTGCCCCCTCCCCTCGCCCTCTGCACTCCACCTAAGTCTATCGCTATTCTCTCAGTTTCTTGAACACACCACACTTCCTCTTGCCACAGGCCTTTGTCACATACTGGATATCAAATGGGCATCAGAGAGAGGAAAAGAATTTCACTTCCTGGGAGAGTTGGTAGGGGTGAGAAGAGGGCAAAGCTAGGAACCTTGTTAGATAGAGCCCACAGGAAAACAATTCTGGTTGTGGGGCATTGAAGAAGCCCTTTGGGAGAACAAAATTCCTCACAGACATCATTAATAGCATTTAATGCTCTGTCTCCTCTATGAAATCCTCCATTGAGCCTGCCATGCTCATTATAGCTTCAGTGTAAATGTGTGGAGCTGGGCTCAAAGTCCAGGTAGCTGAGCAGGGGCATCACACAGACCTGGATGGGCACAGGGACACAGAGCCCTATATGACACTGGGTTAAAGGAGAAACTCGGGCACCCAGAGTGGGATTCCAGGACCCAGCCACGAGATTTCTGATCAGGATTGTTAAAATGAGTCTGCGGAAGCAAACCCCCAGCGACTTCTTAAAGCAAATCATTGGACGACCAGTAGTGGTAAAATTAAATTCTGGAGTGGATTATCGAGGGGTCCTGGCTTGCCTGGATGGCTACATGAATATAGCCTTGGAGCAGACAGAAGAATATGTAAATGGGCAACTGAAGAATAAGTATGGGGATGCATGTATCCGCGGGAACAATGTGTTGTACATCAGCACGCAGAAGAGGAGGGTGTGAAGGAGTCAAGCCTGCGGCACTCTTCAGACTTGGATATATTTTTTTATGAGATCTTTTTGGGGTTTTTTGATATAATTTGTCAAATTTCATAATGGTGATGTTTCACTGACATGTGAGTAAGGTAAATGTATACAGTTGTGGATTTAAATGTAAAGAGTTCTTTCATATTTAAGTTCCAGTCATTTTCTTTTACCTCTGTGTCAGTGTGCAGAATGCAAAGAGAATAAAAAAAGAAAAAGAAAAAAAAAAAAAAAAGGAGAAACTCAATGCACATAGGGGCTGGGCCTGGGCAGTCCACCTTGGCTATGGAAAAACAAGATGACAGGCTAGGAGGAGTGACCAAGTAGAGCATCATGAACAAAACAAAACTCAACAATACTCTTCTTTTTGGAGAGCCCAACCCACCCACATACAAGCTACTTTGGGGAGACTTGGTGATGCAAACATATCCCTCCCTGAGGGATAGGTGGCCCAGATATCCAGATGTCCACTTACAGCTGTGGCAAGTCGTGACGCCAGTGTCATCTCCAGGTTCCCCTTCAGGCCCACTAAGGGTGGCACCAGCGTCAACAGGTCGTTAACCTCCACAAACACAGGCCAGTGCTGGTGGGACAGAATAAGAAGCTCAATCCATAATACACACATAATGGCATAGCTCAGATTTTCTTGAGGGAAGCTTTCAACAAGTTACTTCTCATTCCCTGTAAAATAAATGAGTACGACTAAATAGTTTCTTTTTTTCATTGATTTTAGAGAGAGGAAGGGAAAAGGAGAGAGACAGGAACATCGATGACAGAGAAACATGCATCGGCTGCCTCCTGCATGCCTCCTACTGGGGATTGAGCCTGCAACCCTGGCATGTGCCCTGACAGGGAATCAACCTAGTGACCTCTTGGTGCATGGGATGACACTCAAGCACTGAGCCACACCAGCCAGGGCCTAAATAATTTGGGTTTTTAATTTTTTTTTTCTTTACTGACTTTAGAGAGAGAGGAAGGGAGAGGGAAAGAGAGAGAGAAACATTGATGAGAGAGAACAATGAATGGCTGCCTCCTGCATGCCCCCCACTGGGGATCAGGCCCACAACCTGGGTATGTGCCCTGACAAGGAATTGAACCGGCAATCTCTTGGTGCATGGGTCGACAATCAACCACTGAGCTACACTAGCCAGGACCGAACTAGTTTCTTAAATGACTCTAAACTAAATAAAAAATAATGATTAAGTCTTGACATTTTCTCAATACTATTCAGCGAATAGCAGTAGTGGTCTGAAGAGACCCTTTCTCTCTCTGGTCCTCAGCACCTGGGAGAACTGGGGACTAGAGTGGGCCGAGCCTGTAGACATGCTTTGTCAGGTGTGCACAATGTGTTCGCAGAAACAGGAATGAGTCACCAGTTTCAAAGCGGGAAGATCCACATGGACTGGGAGAGCGGTGCTGAAGAGTGGCACTGCTTTATCAGGGACAGGGACTCCCAGGCAGTGCCAGGCCTGCTCGGCTGCTCCCAGGAACCAAAGCCAAGTACAAGTTGCCCCGGAGTATCATGGGGGGGGGAGCTCTGGATATGTCAAAACAGATAGAATGTGCCTCTATACAGATCTGTATCAAACATAAAGAAATAAAAATTAAAAATAAAAAGAATGAGAGAAATATAAAAGAGAACCAATGGACATGGACAACAGTGTGGTGAGTGTGAGAGGGAGACGGGGATGGGTAGAGGTGAAAGAGGGCATAGAGGGGATAAATGGTAAAGAAAGTATATTTTTAAATTTAAATAAATAAAAAGGATTAAAGGGATACATGTTTCAAAAAAACTAGAAGAGAAAATAACGTAGTGAAGTGGAAATTATTGCAACCTGTTTAACATACAACTAGATTATTCCCCAATCAATTTGTAATGATCCTACTTACTTATTTGAGCTTCATGGGCCCTACAGATATCTGTGACCCCTATATTAGAAGCTGCCCCTGGTTTTACAATGCTAAAGCTGGAAAAATCTGACCTTGTCAGCTAGAAGACAGGATGCCTGGGGACCCCCATTCCCTGAGACAAGAGCTATATAAAGGTGTGCGGATCCACTGGCCTCTGAGGCCCTGGAGAGTCATCTATAAGGCAGCACAAGACATCTCACCAGGCCTGGAGATGAGGGGACTGGGCCAGGCCCTTTGAAGACCCATTGTTTATGATTTCTTCACTCCTTGGTTTCTCCCTTTACCTTATCTACAAAGCTAAGGTAAGGATTATTTCATCAATGACCTCCATTGAAATTCAGAATCATTACCAGCTCTGATGGATTTATGAGTCTGCCCTCTCCTAAAAGTTCAGGAGAAAACCAAGTCACCAGGCAAGAAGGTGTGCCATTATCATGATCCCAGTCCTCACGAAGCATGTGGCCCCTGTGCAGCTGCGCAGCTGTCCTACAAGCTGTCACACCCCATCCAGCAGAGTGAGGTCTCCCTTCAGTTCACAGGGATAGGCTGCCTGCAGGCAACATCCCCCACCCTAAACTCCCTCCTACCTGCGCTGTAAGTTGACACGCTCTTGTGCACACTCTTTCCCTGCCTACATACAACACTGAGTTCCTGCCAACCCAAAAGTAAAAACAAACCCCTTCTCTCAGCCTCCCCTGCCATGGAAGCCTTCCCCTTCTCTTCCTCACCATTATTAAATTTTGAATGAGTTCCTGTTGTCAACTGTCAAAATTAAATGCTGTGCAAGGCTCTGACAATACTGCACCCCACAGCAACACTCCTCTCCTTAAAGGAAGCAGTGACTTACAAATGGGTGACTCCACTGGATCTTCTCTCCTCCATTCTGCTGCTCTCCCTGTGCTAGGGCATCTTCAACCACCCCCCACCCACCCACCTAAACATGTACTCAACTCCTGCTGTGCGACAGGCACACCCCTGAGCTCTCCACACTGGTTCCCCAACCACATACCCTATGCTGACCTCTCTGATTATTTCATCTTGACCTCCATTGAAGGCTTGCGTCTCTTCCTCCTCACAATTTTTTTCATTTTTAGAAATTTAATTAAGCCCTGGCCAGTTTGGTTCAGCAGTTAGAGCGCCGGCCCGCAGACCAAAGGGCCACAGTTCAATTCCTGGTCCAGGGCATGTAACTGGGTTGCAGGTTCAATCTTGGGCCCTGGTCAGGGTCATGTGGATCATTCAGGGGTAAACCAATTAGTGTTTCTCTCTCCCTCCTCCCGTCCCTTCTAATCTATCTAAAAATCAATAGAAAAATATGTTCAGGTGAGGATTAACCAACAGAAAAATTAATAAAGAATTTTATTTCCATCCTGGCCAGTTTGGCTCAGCGGTTAGAGCATCGGCCTGCAGTCCTGAGAGACCCGGGTTCAGTTCCTGCTAAGGGCACGTACCTCGGTTGCAGTTTGTCCCTGGCCCTGGTTGGTCGTGCGGATGGCAGCCACTCGATGTGTCCCTTTCACGTCGATGTCTCTCTCTCTCTCTCTCTCCCCCCCTCCCTCTCTCCCCTCCCACTCTATCTGAACAAAATACGGAAAAATGTCCTCGGGTGAGGATTAAAAAAAAAAAAAAGAATTTTATTTCCTTTTTTCAGATAGGAAAGTTACAAAGTTAGAAATTTCACCCAAGTCTAACAACCATTGATTTAAAATGAACCCAGGCTTTCAACTCTGGACAGCCCTCAGGTTACAAGACTATCTTGTGGGCTGATTTGACCAGAACTAACACACTTTCTCCAGAAAACACAAGGTCAATCTTTGTCAAGATTCTAATTCCACAGCTGAGAAACTCTATTAAAGGACATACTGAACTACGCTGAGGGGAAGATCAGGCTGCCACCAAACCACTGGCTGACTCCCAGCACACATGGCTCCTAACCAATCTTTCCCACCCCTGGATTCATCCTAGCCCATTCAAAGTCTGCTTCCCACCAACAGTAAAACCCAGAGTTCAGGAGACCCAAGGTGCAGACTAACATAATCCTGACTTTCCTTCATACTCTGTCTTCAGTTCCCCTTTCTGTCCACATTCTCTCCTTTCCAAGGCTGGAGTTACCTTCCACAGCCACCCCACTCTCCATTAATAAGCAGCCCGAAGGAAGTGAAAGCTGGAAATGTGAACCTCTGTACAGCTGTCCCATCCTTCTTGCAAGGGGTTGCCTGGGCACCAGCTGGGACAGCACCATGGCCAAGGAGATTTGAGAAGTCATATCTAGACACAAGGCATCATACAATCAACCAGGAGGGGTCTATTCAGAAACAAAGTCAACAAACATGGAAGGTAAAGCAGAAAAATAGGACCCTGGATCCTGGGTGACACTGCTAATCCAATGAGTTAACTAGCGCCACAACTGCCTGATCTAGACTTCTTTGCAGGGATGAGAAATGTGTTTAGTCGCTTTGAGTTGCATTTTCTGTTACTCACAGCCAGAGCACCCAGACTGATGCTTTGGGCTCTGTGCTGGTGGTGTGCGATGTCACTGGCTCAGATCTGCCTTCTGAATGTTTATACCTGCTGACCCAATGGCTGACTGAACCCTGATATCCCACAACCCTTTCAAACTCAGGATTCTAAATGCAACCCTCCTCACCCAGTCCCCCTTGTCCTGCTCCATCCACCATAGTTCCAAGCATCCCTCCTGCTCTGCCAACCAGGACTTAATGAACTCCTTGTGTTCCCCAATATCCTGACATCCAAATCTTCGTGACTGTCTTAAATTCTGCCACTGCCCTCTCCTCTCCAACAACACTTTAAAGACATCTATCCAGCCTGGCTGGTGTGGCTCAGTGGATTGAGCATCACCCCACGGACTGAGATGTCCTGGTTCGATTTCTGGTTAGGTTGCAGCCTCGATCTCCAGTGAGGGGCATGGAGGAGACAGCTGATTGATGTATCCCTTTCACATCGATGTTTCTATTACTCTCTCCCTTCCTCTCTCTCTAAAAAATAAAATAAAGACATCTATCCAAGGCACTGAGGAGGCTGAAATCAGTCAGAAATACTGATTCTTGCACATGGAAGGCTCTGAATCACTACCACAGCCTCCTAGCTTTCCCCTGTGGCCTGGAGCTGCACCCTCCAGGACATCGCTGACCCTGCTGCCAGGATTTTGTTGCACATACATGACTATGGCACTCATCCCTTTATAACCCTTCATTGCCAATTCCACTCCTGGACACGTACCCAATAGATACGAGTCCTTTGGCCTCCCTCTAAAAAACACAGACCAAAAAACATATACAAAAATGTTCCTAGCAGTATCATGCCTGGAGACTAGCCAAAAAGAATACACAGTATTAGAGGTCAGAAAAGTGGTTTAGGTTTGGTCAAGCATGAAAGGCTGAGAGTGTTCTTGATCTAGGTGGTGATTACTGAGGTACATTTACCTTGAGATGGTTCATCAAACGGTACACACGAGTTATACATTTTTCTACACTTCTGTGCTATATTTCAATAAAACAAATACATGATATTTATTACTATTATTTTAAATATGTTTTTATTGATTTTTTAGAGAGGAAGGGAGAGACAGAAACATCAATGTGAGAAACATTGATCAGCTGCCTCCTGCATGCCCCCTGCTGGGGATCGAGCCTGAAAACCTGGTATGTACCCTACAGGGAATTGTCCAGGGACCTCTCTCTCAGTCCATGAGAAGATGCTCAATCCGCTAAGCCACACAGGGCTAGGCTTTACTATTAAAATGAAGAATGACAACAAACTCTGGCCAGTTTGGCTCAGCAATAAAAGTGTCAGCCCACAGTCTGAAGGGTCTTGGGTTCTAATTCTGGTCAAGGGCACATATCTGGGTTTCAGGTTCGATCCCAGGCCCCAGTCAGGGTCGCAGGGGAGGCAACCAATCAATGTGTCTCACAACAATGTATGTTTCCCTCTCTTCCTCCCTTCCACTCTATGTAAAATATCCATGGAAAAATATCCTCAGGTGAGGATTAACAAAAAAAAGAATGACAAAAAATCAACAACACCTTTGCTCTCAGTTTATAAACTTCTAAGCAATGCTAACACTGCCCCTTGCTGCCTGTCCAGCACCCCAGCCCCATGACAGTGGCCACTCATGTTCCTCACTCTTCACAAATGCATACTCATTTGTCCATATCTATATACACACTGATATCTTTGCCAGGGATGTTTACTATTCCTCACATCGTCCTGGAAACTACTACATTATCCTTTAAAGTCAAACTCCAACTGTCCTGCTAACTCTAGAATATCTGACTCCTCTAGGAAGAATGGATTTTTCATTCTTCCTTTACAGGCAAATGTCTGCCTCCACTCAGTTCTTCGTGGGATGATCTGATGAGCATCTGCCTCACCCACTTAGACATCAAATGCCAGGAAGGCAGGGGTTGGTCTGCTTCTGCTCACCACTGCACCTGCAGGGCCCAAGAGTAGGATGCAGAGTTCAACAAAGTGTGCTGACTGAATGAAGGAGGAACCAGATGAATGTATGTATTCATTTATCCTACTCTGCATTTGGCTATGAGCTACTCAAAGAGGGATCCCATTTGATTTATCTCTAATTCAGTGGAGAGTGATCACATACCCTCTAACAACACTAAAAACCACTCTTACTGTCTCCAGGTACACATGTGTGTACATAAACTCCCAAAAGGTCTAGAAGGACATGCACAACCTCATAATACAGGAATAAACTGAGAGTGAGAGCTGTGGTCAAAAAGGGCTTAACCTTAACTCAATATTATTTTAAAAAAGAAATATTTATGCCTTCTTTGTGTAACTGAAAAATGTTTTTTGAAAAACACTAAACTGGTCCTCTAGCCACTTATTAGGCCTTAATCCCCAGGCCCAACCATAGACTGAACACAGACCACAGAAAGAGAGAGACAGACAGACCCCTGGCCCCAAATTGAGAGGAGGTGAAGTCAGAACCCAACCAGTGCCCTTGGTCTCAGGACTGCACCAGAGACAGCCCATGAAGCGTGCCTGCCAAGCCAGGAGGTCATCCTTAATATAAGCTCTTAAGCCCGAGGCCCCAGCATGCAGCCTCCCGTTACTCTGGGTGGGCAACGGCCCAGGTACAGTTGAAGCCAGGAGCCAGAACCCCATCTCACGTTGCGGGGCTTCCCGTAGGAGTAGTGTTGCCAAGACTGCTTTCTGCACTGCTGAGAGGCAGTGAGCAAAGAAGTGGTGGTGGAGGCTCAGGAATCAGGGAAACTCAAGTGCCCTTGAGCCTCACAGAACACTGGAGTAATAGAACCATGTCTGCAATGTGGGGAAAAGGAACAGGCTGTGACTTCCAGAGCTATTTTGTTTCTCCCAGCTGCTGAACCTCCCAAAAATGAATGGCTCAATGACTGAATTTGCACATGGCCTTCCCAAGACACCCCTTTTTCTTCATACTGGCCTCCCAGATGGTGCATTACCACATAGTCCAGGAAGGTATTCTGCCATTCAGCTAGTCTTCCTCCTGTGTGCCCTGCTGTGCCACCTCTGCTGATGGTCAAGCACAATCCCCGCCCCCCTCTCTCTCCCCGACATCCCACCAAATCTTCCAGATTCTGCCAAACTCTCCAAAAATAAGTTGCTGCAAGCTCTCCTGCAGCAACTGAGGTACATGCAATGGGGTGAAGAGGCTCCAAGCTGTGCTCCAACTGAGGTCGCTATGGAAGGTCAAAAAGAGGACTATGGACAGTCTCTCTCCCCAGTATCTGCAGGAGGGTTTTAGGGCAGGTGACAAAATCTTGGAGCAGCTCTAGGAGTGAAGCTCAAAGGCAGAAGAGGTGGATATCCAGGTCATAAGCCTAGATGAACACAAGTTTTCTAATGGCAAGTTGGCCAGTATGCAATAGCTGCCCCACCCCAGGAGGGGTGAGTGTCCTCTCCACTGAGGTATGCAAGCAGAGGCTGTCTTGGCGGCATCATGAGCCTCATTCAGAGACCATAACAGCCAGGGGGGGTGTTGACCACTCCTCTCCAACTCAGAGACAGTTGCCATTAATGTTGGGTAGCCATTAATAAGGAGATGCTGTGTGTACTAAAGAAGAAGGAATGCTATCTGGGATGTCTCATGGGTTAAAAAACTAAATCTAATTTCACAGAGTAAAAAACACATTATGTAGTATGATCCCATATATTTATGTTTATATATTCTTGATAGATACACAGCACAATGTTGAAGAGATTATGTGCATCCACCATCCTTCACTTAGGTACATTTTCTAATTTTTCTAAAACAACACACTAACTGTATAAGAAATGTTTAAGTAGACAGAGAAAAACTTCAGTGATTCAGACAGTTACCTGAGCCAACCTAAGGGCATAAACAGACCAGGAGAAGCAAGCACCAGTATGTGATCACTCAAGGCTTCCAGCAAATTGCATCTACCTGATGGAGACCACCACAGCCCCTTGCTGGCCCAGACCCCCAGCCCAACCTCTGTCCTTTGTCTTCCCACAGAAGAGCCCTATGAAGATTCTGGGGGTTGGAGGGATTAATGCTCATCACCCTCAGGCCACAATACAAGGTGCACTTGGTTATCCATCCTCATAAGCCTGCGAGGTGGGTGTGTTTATTAGTTCCATCTACAGATGGGGAAACTAAGCAGGGGACACTAACAAGTGAGCAAATGACATAGCCAGGATTTGAACCCCTCAGTCCCTTCCAAATGAGTCTGCATTCCCTGGAAGGAAAAAGGTTTGAGCTCCCAGAGCTAATGTAACTCATGTGCACTGACCTTCAGAGAGGGTGATCAGAAGCTTCTGTAAATCTCAGACAGTGGAGGACCCACCTGCCAGCACCATTGAGACCAGGACTCCTAGACCTCAAGACCTGGCTCAGGGCTGCTTGCATCCCCCTCACCCCTGCCTGTCCTATTTGTGATGCCTGGAACTCCAGTACCTTCTTTCCCAGGCTCCAAACTGCCCCTCAGATGCCCAGTACGCACTTGGATGGTGTTCATCAATAGGCCCAGGCCCAAGAGCAGAGGGGGAACCACAATCTGCCACGTGAAGGTGCAGGCAGTCTCAGGGAAGACTCCATGGGGCACCGGGTGAACTCACAGCTGAAGCCTCGCAGCTTCTTGCCCTGAAAGCAAAACTCCAGATTCAGCTGGGTGACTACCATGGTCAGGCTGTCGATCATATTCACAGGGGCAAGATATCCACGCCTAGGAAGCCCTCTGTCCTCTGTCCTCCTTGTCTTCACCAGGATACATTTCCTAAGATGTCCACACAGGTAGAGTGGCCAGGTACCCGCTCCTGGGAAGAGTTCCCCAAATGCCCCTCAGCAGATGGCCAGAGCAAACAAGTAAAGAGAAAAGGCCAGTGTGACGCAGAGTGTCATTCAAGGCCTAAGCCAGCTCCTGCTATCCATCTGATCTCTGCAGATAAGGTTTTCTTCAGAGTGGCTGCTACGTCAGCCAGCACCTCCCTCAGCTAGCCTGCCACAAGAAGGCTCACTGTCCCTCGGCACGACCTTGACAGCATCCAGCCCTCTGGCCCACGCTGGCTCAATCTGAACCAAGAGATGGAGCCACATGACGCCAGGCCTTGGCAAGTGCCATGCAGAGGCCTGCCCACCTTTGCAAATGTGCCCTGGGCAGCCTGTACTTGTGGCAGATAAGGGCCCAGAGAAATCTCAGCATGAAGGACCCACTCCTCAGTCCAGGTTTACAGTCCTCTGAGGGTCTGCAGGTAACCAAGAAAGAAGATACACCTGTGGTCACCTTGATTTTGATGTCCAGGGGTTCATGGCCACACAAAGAAGCTGTGTTCAGAGGAATCAGAGCCCTGTTCTTTCAAGGGCCCAGAAGATTTGTAAACATGCTTCCAAAGGGACCACATTCTCATCTGCTACAAAGGTAAGATCAACCCAGCCCAGGAGAAGGGGCTGAGATGGCAACTCTGACTCCTAGGAATTCTATTATTGTTGGATGTGTCCACTGTGCATTCCACAGGTGCCAGGGATAGAATAACCAGGCTGAGCACAGGCTGGATCAGAGATCAAGGCCATAGCCAACAGAAGCCCAAAGCTAAGGATGAGGTGCACATTCACTACAGACCCAGGGACCTCACCCTGATGTAGGCCTCACCTCTGCTCCTATTCTTAAACCACAGCCCTCTTGGGCACTGGTTCCCCTGTCTATTCTATGCTCAAGTTCCATCCCTTTAGCCTGATGTTCATAGCCCTCACAGGTCTAGATCCTAGCAACTGCTGCATGCCTATCCACTCCCCTCACCAATTCCAGCCAAACATCTCCAATAATTGTTTCCCTCAAGTCCCAGATACTCCTCTCACTGAATCTTTCCTCACACCATTCATTTACTCATTCATTCAACAGATATTTTTAAGCCCCTCCCAGGAGCCAGACATAATGAGCTCAAAATTTCTTTGGCATTCATTCCATTGAGAGTTGGAGTTCTGTCTCCTCCTTTTCAATCTGTGACTGCTGGACCAGTAGAACACAGTGGAAGAGACACTGTGTCAGTCTGGTTCTGGGATCAGATCTTGAGAAACTGACAGCTTCCACTTCCCATCTCTTGAGATGTTCATGCTTGAAACCCAGCCACCATGCTATGCGAAAGCCCAAGCAGTCACATGCAGAGGCCACATATAGGGGTTCTAGCCAAGAGCCCCAACTGAGGTTCCAGCTGACAGTCAGCTGCAACTGTCATATCATGTGAACTATCTTGAATTGGGTAGAGTGCCTAGCAAGTCACCCCTGCAGATGCTGCATTGAGCAGACAGCCATTTTCACTGAGACCCACCCAAAGCCCTACAGATGTATGATCAAACTGAATGACTGGCTTTAAATAAGCCACAAAATTTTGGTGTGGTTTGTTGCACAGCAGTAGATAACTGGGACATTTTGGGGTACTTCATACCCACCCTTGACTGTACATAAACCAACAACTCCCAGACCTCTCTCCCCAACCCAGACCTCTACCCTGAGCTTTCAGATGGTATTTAACCCTATCATGAAGACAAGTACTTCAAACTCAGTCTTCCATGATCATTTCTTCCAAACATCTTTCTCCAAGCTTCCAGACTCAATGAATAGTTCTGCCAGAAATCCAAACCTCACTCTGATGGCCCCTTCCCTGACTACCTCAACCTCACATCCAACCTGCCTGTCCCCAAATCTCTCCTGCATCTGCCCCTCTTCTCCAGCTCATGCACACGACCTTCACCATAGCCCTACTACCTCCTAACCTGTCTGCCACTGACAGTACACATGCTCTTCATACTAACATCCCACAGTACATCTCCAAGTCACTTGCTTGCCCAAATATCATCAGCTGTTAACTTATTACTTGAGAAAGTTTAGATTGTATGGCCAGGCATTCAAGGCTCTTTATAATTTGAGGGAGGGAAAAAAAGCATCCATTTGTTCCCTCTTTCTTTCTTTCTAGTCCCTGGTCATATACTGCACACTATAGAAGAAACTTCCTGCGAACCCTTCCATGGACCATGCCTGTGTTCACATGGCTCCTTCTGCAGGCTCCACACATGGCCCAGGACAAGCTTCTGCCTGGCCTCATTGTCAGTTGAGGCACCTTTTAATCTTTGAGGCTTCCCTGACTACCCTGCCAAAGACTAACATCTCCTTCCCCAGAATTCCCAAAGTACTTTTTCTGTCTGAAGTAAATCCACTTAATGCAAGGATGAACTGCACATGAATCTACTCTCCCTTCTCGGACCGTGCTCCTCTTGAGAATAGAGTCTGGCTGACTCACTGCTATAATCTTCACAGCAGAGCAAATTAGTCATTAATTTAATCCACAAATTAGTACTTAGGACCTAGTATTTGCCAGATTCTGATCTAACAGATGTGGTGCATCCGTTAGTGGAACAGATATGTATAGAGCTTTCCAACGCAGTAGAAAATAATAAAAACAAAAATGTAATTATGACCCTTGACAAGTGCTCTGAAGGAAAGCCAAGGAATGATGAGAGCACACAGCAGAGGCCACTACACAGAAGCACTCAATGACCGGCATGTGAATTAACAAATGAACGAATGATAGATCTTCAGTTTCCTTTGTGTAACAGTCTGTACTTCTCAATGCCCGTAAATAAGGAATTATTTCATGTTAAATCAAACACCAGACTCCCAAAATATTTCCAGGATGTTTATCAGCAAGTACTGCCTTCCATAAGCCCTAAAAGGTTCACCCTAGTTAGCATCAGAGGCGAGACGAAGATCCTCCCTCAGCTCTGGACTCCAAGTGCAGACTGCCTCCACTGCCTCCCCTGCTGAACACCCTGTAACCCTTCTCCTGTCTGCCATCTGCATTTGGGTCTATTGGTTCAAATAAAAGTCTGAACCAGTAGGAGGCTGAGAGAAATAGTGTGTTTCTGAGAAAAAAGTTGCAGAAGTTAACTGGTTTAAGGAAGCTAGCTGGTTTAAAACAGAAGAACTCCTCTTGGCTGGCCTGAGACACTGACCACACACCACTCCCAAGGCACACAGCTGGAGAGGCCACAACAAGAAACCACTTTCTTCTGACTTCGGCAATCCTGCGATTTCTTTATAGTTTTGAATGTGATCAGACATCATAATACAATATGTAATCATACATACTGGGACCTTGAATCATTCTCATCAGTACAGAAGATATGGAAATAGATAATCACCTGCATAATTTTATTTAGAAAGATTCCTGATTAAACAAGTTATAAACCATTACAAAAATGGTTCTCATTTTTGTTTAAAAAAGTCAAACGAGAAATTAAGATAAACACACATATACACACACACATAGAGTAAGCAGTAAAATGTTCAGAAGGATATATACCAAAAAGCTAAAATTGGTAACGTCTGAGTGGTAGAATTATAAGAGACCTTTATTTTATAATTTTCTGTATATTCTATTGTGATTATCTGCTTTTATAACCACCAAAAATAAATAAAAGATGTAATTATGTGAGAAAAATTACTTTCCTTGCAACTTGAGAACAAAATATGTCAAAACAGTTTATTGGGTCATAATACAAAAAAAATCAAGAATGTGATTTTTAAAATAGTTTAGTAGCAAAGTGGAAAATCTCAAAGAGCTTAAACTGGATTCCAGGGCTGTATCAGGTAGAGAGTGGAATCTGAGTCAAGCATCAGGCGGTTTTCTGGGTGACATGCAACAAGCCCTTGCCCTTTTTGGGCCTCTAACCCACTCACAGCCCTATAACAAGAGGTGGTGGGACTGCATCGGCAGTTTTCAGTCCACAGTGCCATCAGAACTACCTGGGAGCTCCTGAAACATGCAGCCCAACCCCAGCACAGACCAATGAATCAAATCCCCAGGCCTGTGGCATCAGAACCACTCATCTACTCCAACTTCCCTTGATTTTTAGGGAGTATGTCATTGCAGCACAGTTAGGGGAGGGTCTGCAGAGGTCTCTGGAATACATATCGCCATGCCTAGATTTCGTTTCTTATTCTTCAGTGGGAACTGGTTATTTTCCCAGGAGTACACCTTCCAACAGGCCTTCTATTCCTTTCATGGGTCACCTTGAGCCTTGGCTGATTCTGAGCCAAATGGTCATTCTTAAAGGCCTGAATTCTTTCCCTTCCTGTTAGATCCTCAGAAATCAGGCCAATTATATTTTCAATAACAGGGCAAGTTATTCTGTATTTTCTGTTTCTTATTTGGCTAGCCAAACCCACCCACAAGTTAAAAAAGACTGAGTTACTCACTCCTACCCCTGTCAATCTGCTCTCATGAAGTTTCTCCAAGTAGCACCTTTACCTCACTCCAGCATTTCCTCCTCAAAAAGGCATTCTCTGGACTTCCTCTCCAAGGCTAACGCATATAACCCAGCTTTATTTTCTTCATACCCCTTACTGCTATCTAAATTGACTTTATGCATCTACTGTCTCTCTCCACACTCAATTTTGGGGCCATGAGAGCAGGGTTCACCACAGCGTCCAGCGCAATGCTGGCCCATGGCATATGTACATGTTACATGAATGAGTGAATGAATGAGTAAATGAATAAACAAACAGAATCATAGAAACAAAAAGAAACCCAGCCAGACTTCCATAAAGCTGAGTGGTATAAAGCCTAAAATTAATATGGCTGCCTTGACATCTGGTGAAACCATGGCCTAACTGCAACTTCCTCTCC